GCTAACTATCGCATCTTCATCAATATGAAAGAGACACATTGAGATGATAAGAGGACACTAGCAAAAAGCAAATGTCATCAACAATAATATTCAGAAGAAAACACTTGACTTTATCCTTCTCATTAACTTCTTTCTTTGGAAAGAAAATAGACTAAATTCTAAATCTTGGATGAGAAAAAGTAGAAAACTGCTTCAGTGAAAAGATAATTACAAAGATCATTATAGTGAAAACAGAGTTGAACTCCACTGGAGATGGAAACCAAAGAACACAAGAAACAGGTAAACTAATCAGAAGCTCACCCGAACATATTCAAGGTCCTCTTTCAATTTAGCAAGTTGTTCAGCAATTTCTGTTTCTTGCGCCTTACCAGATGAAGTGCGCTGCTGTTTCTCCAAACGTCTTATTCTTCTCTCAATCTTTCTTCTCTCTGCCAATAAATGGAAGCTCAACGAATCAATTCTGACACTAAAGCACAACATTTTTGAAGCATATTTAAATTTATAAAGCATAGGAGAAGTTACTAACCAAAAAACTTAACCTTCCTGTTGTGAAGAAATATTTTGCGTTCCACAGCCAGACGATTGTGAAGTTCTTGTTGCTTTTTGAGTTCGTCCAACTTCTGTTTTTGAACTTCTCTAATTTCAGGAGGCAGATCCTGGAAACATTAGCCGGTTACTATGTTTTTCAGCAATTTTTCACTCAAATCTTATACTACCTCAGGTTTAAAGACTAAAAATGCTATTTTTTATGATGGTGGTGTCCGGGCCAGCTTGCTCGCACCTCGACTATTCCACCGGGTATCTGCTATCTCTCACCAGCGCAAGTACCGGATAGTTCTATCCACCAAGCTTAAGCAGATGGGAAGAAACTAACTAGTGTTTTTGCCTCTACTGGGATATGAACCTAAGACTTCAGTGACTACTAGGCCACACATAGGTTGACTAAAATTGCTAAATAAACGTGTAGGTTAGCTGTATGTCACTTGAGAGAACTTGAAGTTAGAGATGGCTGATACCAAGCAAATAACTTTGCTTTAAATCTATTTAATGCAAACCCACATTTGAGTCTCGGGTCAAAATGCTTGTCTGGGAAACAAAACTTATTACAAAATTTACAGGTAGATAATTATGAATTCAAAGTGGTACATGGACACCACAGCATAACACTTAAAATGTGAAAAAATGTCATCCATAATTATCCGACATATTAATACAATTAGTGGGAATACCATAATCATTAGATTGATGTCATACTTGATTTAACAAAAACATAAATATAACTATATCCCAACTAACCAATTAACTACTTCTCGATCCCAAGTTAGTTGCGGTCGGCAATATGAATCCACCATATCCATTACGTTGTCTTATCTAACTGTTATCTAACTTATGTGATGGAATAAAATTGCTTGGTAAAAAAAAGATTTATTACAAACACTAGTTTGTTGCTCATGTCTGATAGAAGGCAGGGCCAAAAAAGTGTATCAGTTATTGGGTGCAAAATTAGTCATCCCTACACTTAGTAGTTTGTTCCAGCAATCGATGGGTAATCACAAATCCTTCCTGGAAGATGGTAGGAAAACAAATAAATTGTAAATTAAATGACAAAAACTAAGCATCCTATTACTCTTTACTCCTATAATGTTGAAGTTTGTCCAAATCTATAAGTTTCATTTGTTTTGTATTTACAACTTCCATCTCTGTTTATTTCCAGATACTAACCACAATAGCTTGTTTATGATATTAATTAGGCAAGTAACAGTGGTTTTGGGAGCTTTATTTGTCTTCAAAATCAACCTTCTCAACTGTTCTCTTTGCTTTTTCACTCTCTAAAGAACATGGTTGAAACAAAAAGGATTTGTCTTTTGACGCTTAAGCTAATTAAAAAAACGACAGATAAACAACAAGAAAGTTGAGCAAAGACAACAACTTTAAGCAACTCCATTGCTATGCAACTGCTAGTTAAGTTAAAGAGTGCAAACACCACCAAGATATATCACTTCTGCAACCAACTCTAATCAAATTTAAAATTACATTTTGCATCACAAAGCAATAACTCCAAATAGCACACAAGGAAATGAACTTCATCAAGAATCAAAAGCACATTTAACAGAGACAAAAATAAAAGGTTATTTTCTAAATCCATCTCTGTATAAAAAGTTCAAGCTTTTTCTGAGGATTTAGCATTAAACAACCTCATTTCATGGCACTATAGTATAGTTAGAATGCACCATTACTATTTTGAAGTCAAACAGTAGCTTCTTTAACTAACTTTTTAAATAGTATACAAAATTGCTACTGTAGGATTTTACATACTTTCTAGATACCTAATATTTATCAACAAAGAAATAGAAAAAATCACAGAACTAGGAACAAAAAAGGAGAGAAAAGGGATAAATATATATACTTTGCGGAGCATGCGTTCGATGGAGCGCATTTGATTCTTGATAGAAACAGCCTTAGCCTTAGGCTTTGACTTCGACTTGGATTTCTTATCAACAGCTAAAGATTTAGGTTTGGGTCCTCGCCGGTTTCTATTGTTAGCGGCGTCAGGGATTTTCCGTTTCCCATAACCACCATGCCCCATAATAATATCGAAACAAAGGGCGGTATTGAAATTGGAGCAATTCTTTTCTATAGAAGAAGCCTCAGCTGTGGAGCAGACATTGTGCGACAACAATGGAGTTTTAGGTTTGGCTCCCTGCTGTTTTTCCTTTTTTCTTTTCTTCACCTTTTCTTTTTGAATTCTTTTTAATGAAGAATTAACCTATTTTCTTTTTTAACCTTTTTTTTATATTGAAGAATTAACCTAAATAGTAATCATGTATAATTAATTTATAATTTATATGTTTCGGTTAAGAAAGGTAAATTGCAAAGCCAATCGACTCTTTTGTAAAGATCCCCTTTTTAATTAGAGGTGGTGCAAATCAGTATTGGAATAAATAGACTTACCGCGATTGATGAGGAAATGGTACGAAAATAAATATTTGTATTTTATTATTAGATTTCTTTCGTGTAAAAATAACGTTTTAGTTTACCTAACGTACAATGAGACCCTGCAAACATACCGACAAGAGTGGTTACGTTTAAAAATAAATTACGGATGAATTATAATACAAAGTTGGGATTAATAATGTAGACGTTGTAATGCATAAGATTATCTTTCAAGGAGCGTTTGGTTCTTTGTACTGGAAACGGAAATGAGATATAGAATAAATAAAATTTAAAATATGAGCTTAATAAAATTAGAAAGGTGTTGATGATGGGTTTTAGACTTGTCAAATGGGTCGGGTCAACCCACGAACCGGCCCCACTGTTTGACCCACTGAACCGGACCGGACTCGAACCGGTAGCTGACGGGTCAACCGGCCTGGACCAGCTCACACACACACACATACATACATATATATATATATATATATATATATATATATATATATATATATATATATATATATA